AGAACAAGGTTAGTTATTAAACAAAATCTATTTTAATTCGACAGTACATTCAAAACGAATTCTGACAAATTCATAACAATACACGTAAAACAGTCAAGGATTTTAAACCTAGCTCAAAGGTTTTATGAGTTGAGATTAGTTAATGTGATGGATTCTGCTATCGAAATTCGCATTTATAGTTACAAATAGAATCGTAATAAATTTGGGGGGATATTTTAACAAAAACAATAGACATAATTAATATTTTTGCCTTTATCTTTACATGTACGTCATTATCAAAATTGTTAAGAAAAAATACAGACCGGGAACATTTTTGAACACAATTGGCAGGTTAGCGTGCGACCTATCTGATGAAAAATGTTCAATGGCGCCCATTGACATCAGCTAGATCTAGAGCACAATCTACTATCTGAAGGCATGTTATAAGTGGTAGAGTTGAACGCAGTCTGCGCTGAGAACTCACTCTTGGTACCTGTGTCGTGCTTAGTGCAAGTTTTTTAACTTTCTCGATAGCGTAAAAGTTAACTCAAATTTGTATGCAGTTGGAACAGCGCAAACTAGCGGCAAACGCAGACAATCCAACTCCATACGAATTTGAGTTAACTTTTGCGCTATCGAAAACGTTAAAAAACTCAAATTAAGCACACAGGTATAAGTGATAATAGTTAAACCTTGTAGACTCTACTTCGAAGCAGTAGTTAAAATAAGTATAACAATATTTAAAAAAAGTACTTTCGTGAGTGGACCCCTATCCTATAGAACTGTCTAAAAATAAACATACAAAAATACGAGTTTTTTTTTTAAGGGATTTTATGACCTGGTAACTAAGACCTTTAAGTCATGTCTTATTTTAATTTATATTCTTAATTTTATGAAAAATTATAATATGGAGTGAAATGAAATGAAGATGATTAATTTGAGACATTAATCAACTGGGATGAAATTAAATGAAATGAGATGATATGGGATGAAATATAATGTCAGTAAAACGGTGGTCATTTACTAAGATTTTTTCAGTGGACTTTTTGGAGGAACCCAAGAAGTTACGTCCAGCAGCTTTGTTTCATTTTCTCACTTTTGTGCACTTTCACAGATATAAAGCAGTTAATAAACCACCGTTATTACACATTTAAACCTGAAGAAACACTAAATAGACAAAATAAAACAAATCACACAACTTCACTCCTTGCGTTCCCGCCAAAAAGTCCTCAAAAATCCGAGTTTTAACTAGTAACAACAGGCCATCCTACGAAGTACGAAGGTCAGCTAGGATTGGAATTATTTTTTAATTCGGTCATTTACTCCCGTCCTTATAACCGAAATAACAGGAACTAGTTGGCGCTACTCGGTCAATTAATTATCTGTGCTATGATAAACTATTATTCGTATTGTCTGTGCAATTTGGCGGGAATTAAAAAAATATTCTTGAAATGTTCCTTCAAAAATATTTAGTATACATTTATAGGATATAGCGTGCGAGAGAATGAGATAGAGAATACTTCCGAAACTCTCACTTCTACCAAATAAACTGCACAAAATGTTTTTTTATACGACAAAAAGAGAGTGATTAAAAGAATATCGATTTAAATTTTTAATATCGATTTCGAAGATTTCTCGAGATGGTAAAAATTCGATTGAAATCGAGATAAACTCTTAGGAGTGGCATGATTAACGTCTTAGAATATAGAACAATTATTTAAAGTTGAAAAAACAATTTTATGTTTATTTTTCTATGACGTAATAAAAATTACGACTCTATACCTACGTCTTTTGTTCTGTACCCATATTAAATTACAGTTAATTTGATTCTTTACCACTATGATTTATACATTTTTCATGCTTGTCACACACAATTCAACATTTATATTGTGCTTACGACTGTCAGTCACTGCACGCAATGCAATCACAATGTTGACTTTTTTTTCTTTTGTTTAATTCGTGATATTTTAATCTTAACAAGTTAAATTCATAATTAAATATTATGTTAGTTCATTGCGGGCTTGCGTGGTTATTTCTTGATCACGTGTTAGCTATTAAATGTAAATAAGAAAAATATGCTTAAGCATTTATTATTTTCATTTAAAAGTATATTATTATTTCACAAAAACAAAAATGCGCGAACGAAAAATGTGCTTGAGAAATATTTTAATATTTTTTTTTTTTAAATCATGATTCTTTAAGAATGCGTATATCCCTATTTTGGTGATTTTTAATGTCACTTCTTTCCCTGCCTAAGCGTTGATAGCTTAAGGGGCTATTTCCACTACGCGCGATTTAGGCTCACGGTACACAACCCGGAAATTGCTAACATTAACCCTAACAAGAGCAGTGCTTCGCAGAATCTACCACCGGATCGGAAAGGCGACCCACTGAAAAGAGTGAGAGTGGGTTGTGTCCATTGGTAATTTTCAGTGCATACTAAATAAGAATAGTATTCTCGTTGGACATAGAAACTAATCGAATAGAATCTTACGCACGGAGTTTACGATCTTCTCGTGCTATTTCGACTTCCCGAAATATTCATTAACTAGCGGCACGCTCCGGCTTCGCTCGGGTCTTAACAAAAATTTCAAAATAAAAATTATTTTGTAAATAATAATGTGTTCTATAAAGTCATAGTACATTATTTTATTCTATCATCAATAGATTTCGTAGCGCACGCGATGTAAAGAATATTTTAGGTGATTTTTTTAAAACCTTGGGTTACATTATTGGAGGTTTAGTAAAGATCCCTAATAAAAAAAAAAAAAGATTATAGCCTATGTCACTCGGGGATAGTGTAGCTTCCAAACAGTGAAATAATTTTTCAAATCGGTTCAGTAGTTTTGGAGCCTATTCAATACAAACAACCAAACAAATCTTTCCTCTTTATAATATTAGTATAGAAAGTATAGATTAAAAAGTGAAATTTGGCTTTTCTAAGCACCGATGATAAATATTTTTTCCCGTTTACGTTGTAAAACCGCTGACTACGATAATATATCATACAATGCGTAACATGTATATATAAAATTTGTATTTCCCTATTACGAATTTTCATATATTTTTTCGGCAGATTGCCATTAAAAAAAAAGAAAAAATATATTTTTTATTGTCATAATTTTCTGATCTACTAATTTCAGACACACAGAGAACGTTGACTCAACGCGTTGTCAAAAAAAAAATGAATCAGTTGTGTGAAAAACGTTAGACATTGAAATTTAAATTTTACACAAATTTATTTAGGCTAATATTATAATAATAATATTAGTTTAATAGTCGATTACATGTGAATACTAACCTCGAGACATGAGATAAAATTCTCAATTCTTAGGTATGACGTCTATCCAGCCCTTCAAAACGTCATGACTGCATTGCGGCAGAGCTAGCCAGAATATTAGGTACCTATAGGCTCGGACTCACAATACGCACTCTAGCTAATTAATTGAATAGACAGATCTATTCCGATCTGTCATTGCGAACTGGAAGGATCGAGATAATTTTAACTAGTTTCCCGGAGCGCTTAGTAAATGAATTCTGCGCGTACTAAGGTGACCAGGATTTTAGCATAATAACGCATTTAAAAAAAAATCGGTTGTCTGTAAAGTCGGTGTACTGACAACGTCATAAGAAAATACTGATGGAATGGTTTCATTTAAAAAAAAAAAAAAAAATTTTATTTGTTTGATAGATATTTTGTATGGACAAATGACACCACATTCACTTTTCACTGAACTTCATACTTGACGAAAACATGTAAAGTGTAATTATTCTATAGCAGCTGTCAACGCGGATGCATCGCTCACTCAAGTAGGAGAGAGACAGATGTCGAGCGCTGCCGAACGCGGAGGCCGATTGTGCCTCTTTGTCGCTCGTTGCGCGCTCTCGCTTGCACTTCAAGCCTTAAATGGAACGCCTCAATGAGTCATGTTTTTTCGTGCATGCAGCCGGCCCCATCGAATTATAAGACATTGTCACGTTAAAAAAATGAAACCTAATATTTATCTTGTTAAAAAATCAAAAAACAAATGGTCTCATCGAACGAATCGTTATTATTATTAACTAGTTATTACATACTGGTTGATAATAATAATAACTAATTATAATTATTATTGTCGAAGAAATTCGCGCGTCACCTGCTGTCGCATGTTGATGGCAGTATAACAGAAGCATTTCTTGTGTGTGTGTTAGCCTTTTAGACAAAGTTTCAAGTTCCGACTCAAATGCACATTCAACTCTATGTAGTTATATATCTAGTTGTTATTTCAGTGAACTCAGTCCACCGATAATAATGCAAATCTTGATGTGAACTATAAACGTTAATGTAAAGAGAATAAAATTCGAAGTCGTCGTGGCCTAATGGATAAGACGCCCGCCCGTTGTATTCGCGTGCGATGATACCGGTGTTCAAATCCCACACGCGGGTACAATATATTTTTTTAAATAAAAATACATTCATAATCCATGTTCATGACTGAATTTCACGACAAAAGAAAATAGCATCGTATAATAAAAATGATACCCAGAAAAAAATATAGTATACGTTATTTCTGGTGGCATTTACACATCCGGGTAGTTTAACCGGATATCACGACCCAGTAGTAAAATCGAGTTGGAGGACTGTTGTTATGCTTAATTGAGAGTTCGATCCTCACTCCGGTTGGGGGTAGGGAGGAGGGTATTGTGAAATCCATGGGCTTTAGCAGCTGTTAACTGGGTCTGTTACCCCCCTCGACCGGGCATCCGTAACCGGATTATGGCAGGCAGCGGCTTGGCTCTGCCCCTGGCATTGCTGACGTCTATGAGCGACGGTAACCACTTACCATCAGACGGGCCGTATGCTCGTCTGCCTACAAAGGCGGGAAAAAAAACAGCGTTAAAAGTGCGTGAACTACGCGCTGATAAAAAAGAAAAATAGCCCGTAGACATACCGTAGCGTACGTAATTGTTGCCGCATGGTTTAATCGCCGCGTCAGTACATATCATAGTCACTGTACTAGTCACTGTACATTCAGAATTGAGTGTACATTTAGTTGATATAAGCAGGTGCGCGAGACCACAGTGCAGTGATGGCGCGACAATGGATCGCAGTGCTGGCTTTCGCCGTTGTCCTCGTCCTGACTGACGCAGGTGCGTTAATAATAATAAAAAAATATTTATGTGAAATAAAAAAAAAAAAACAGTGACAGTAAAAATGGCGCGTAACGGCTTGTTGTTTTTTTTTTTTTGTATTGTGTGTTTTAGAACGAATTATCAGTGTTTGCTTGTTTCAGAGTTTTTTTTTTTTTTAATTTTTATTTTTTCTCGTGGAATTCGGTTTGCGAAATTTAGTAGAATACTTTTTATGATTCCGAAAACGTTTAACTATTTGAATAATTAATAATATTAAATGAAACGACTCGAAAATGCATCGCTAATTGCACATAATAACATTTATGTTGCTAGTTTTAATTTAATTCAATGACAAAAAGACATTATCAATAAAATAACGCTATTTTAAATTTGAATGGTAATGATAAATTTTAAATAGAGTTATTTTTATTACAATAATTTATGTTGTATATGAGTCGTCTATTATCCAAGGCGGCAATCTGTACATTTGGACAAAAAATTTTTATTGATATGTCAATACAGATTTATTTGAATATAATCGTCTCCTTCAAAGAATACGGTTCAAAACCTGCATTAAATAAAGGTTAATAGTTAACCTGTTATTTATCTAAGATGTCGTTCCGAAGAGTTTTGTGACTGCCAATGGAATACAAAGTCAATAATTCGTTTTTCTGATTTACCAATCATTGTCCAAAAGTCAGATTGCCGCCTTTGATAATAGTCGACTCATATCTAGTTATTTATACTTTAACAAGAAACAAAATTAATTAATATTCACGACATTGACACAATAACAGACTTAAATTGAAACTAAGAAATAAGTTTTCATTACAATAACTGAAGTAGTCAGTCTATTGTCACCTGAAGCAATTTTCTTAAACAACTATATTTTTTATTGTTATCAATTAAAATTAATTTATTAACGGCAACGTATCGACAAAGTGTATATCGTCTTAATGCCTCAAAGATATTATCGTCAGGTTCGAGCCCCGTGACCTCACCTACTAGTTCGGTGAATCTAGAATAACCCCTCGGGATTAATATAATAGGTATGAAAAAAAAAAAAAAAATTATCCCTAAAAATTAAGAATGCTTTTAACACATTGACTGCCATGTAAGATCAACAATGCCCCCTACGTGTCGCACTGAAGTAATTATGTCGATTTCTGTAAGCGTCTGGATTGCCTAACTATACCTTCTTTTGTTTTTAATGTATATGTTAGTATTGTAGATCTTTTAGAAATAGATTCATTCTCAGTATCTTCGGATTCGTCTTTCCCAAAGTCTTCTAACTAGTGGGAATATCTATTCCGGCGTCTTAGTAACGGAAATCGATATTATTATTACTTTTTATGGCATAGACGGGTGGACGAGCTCACGGCCCACCTGGTGTGAAGTGGTTACCGGAGCCCATAGAGTTTTTTTTTTTAATTGCTTAGATGGGTCGACGAGCTCACAGCCTACCTGGTGTGAAGTGGTTACCGGAGCCCATAGAGACCTAAAACGTAAATGCCGCCACCCACCTTGAGATATACGTTCTAAGGTCTCAAGTATAGCTACAACGGCTGCCCCACCCTTCAAACCGAAACGCATTACTGCTTCACGGTAGAAATAGGCAAGGTGGTGGTACCTACCCGCGCGGACTCACAAGAGGTCCTACCATCAGTAATACAAGTCTACAACGTAAATGCCGCCACCCACCTTGAGATATGAGTTTTAAGGTCTCAGTGTAGTTACTTCATTACGCTACGTAGGGCATCGGTGACCTACACCGCAGTCAAAGGGTTAATACTCGCAGTATGAACTACGTCACTAGTATCAATTTTATTGATTTAAGTGATATATCGCGCCGTATTGTTCTATCAGGCTGTTTAAATATTAATGTCTTACCATAAATATTGATATTTTTTTTTCATTACAATAAATTCGTGTAATAAAAATCAAACCCGCAAAATTTTAATTTGCGTAATTACTGGTGGGAGGACCTCTTGTGAGTCCGCGCGGGTGGGTACCGCCACCCTGCCTATTTTTGCCGTGAAGCAGTAATTCGTTTCTGTTTGAAGGGTGGGGTAGCCGTTGTAACTATACTTGAGACCTTAGAACTTATATCTCAAGGTGGGTGGCGCGTTTACGTTGTAGATGTCTATGGGCTCCAGTAGCTTAACACCAGGTGGGCTGTGAGCCCGTCCACCCATCTAAGCAATATATATATATAAATGTTGCTGTGGTCTTGCGGAGGAGATCCTGTATTCGAGTCAAATGCGAACGTTCAAGCGGGCTTCAAATTTTGAAAGTAGTTAGTTACAAAAGGTAGAGGGGGAAGAAGGTCGACCGAAGCAGACATGGATGGGGTCTGTGAATAACGATATGAGAGAGAGAGGGGTGAGTGTTGAGGAAAAGTATGATAGAAGAGAGGGGAAGAGAAATATTAGCTGTGCCGACCCCACCTAGTAGAATAAGGTGTTACCACGTGTGAAATGGTCACGGGGCTCTATAGACATCATAAGGCTATGTAAATTTTTTTTTCATCATCGTAGTGATTTGTCGACATGAGCTTAGTACGTATTTCATTAGGGTAAATAGTACCTGCCTGAGGGATTCAAATTCCGGCATTTTCGCATCGCTTGATACGATTACATCGACAGCCTTATCTTTTGCGCCACGGAGACTTAAATTAAAACAAAAGAACAAAAACGTTACTTTAAATATTATTATTAGGTTTAAAATGTCAAGAGAAAGAAAAGAAAAATACAAAAGCATACAAAAAATACAAGTAAGTATTTTTTGTATGCGTTAAGTAAGTCTGATGACTAAGTCACTTACATATGACAAACAAAAGCAATGACAAAATCAATGCTCTTAAGATTACTCAAGCACCTTTATCGCTCTTGCTTTTGATTCAGATGAATTTAAAATTTAAATGTTTCCAACCCTAATTTATCTACCCACCCATTTCTACCAGGAAACAGTATCGAATTTTAGGGGTTATATATTAATTACTATCATATTATCTACGGCTTTCCCGAGTCATAATATTATACATAATTCAAGCTACTCACATGATTTAATTTTGATCACGCTAATTCGTCGGTGAGCATTAAAACTGTAGTTTCTAAAACTCGAAAATAATATACAACAATATGTACTAGTAGCCCCCTGATAGTCGAAATAAGTTTGTACACTATTATGATTCTATTGTAAAAGACTATTATGCTTCTATAATCACAGACTTCGCCAAAACTATACTTTAGACAAATATTAATAAAGACAAACAATATTTAATCTTGATTTATTCTCAATTTGACAACAGACAAAGCAAGCAATAAGCAGCAAGAAAAGTTTGACAATAAACAAATAGTATGCATGCGTGTGTGTGTATCAAATTAATGGTAGTGTGTATAATGTTTTTATTTATTCTTTTAAATTTTTTGGATGCATAATTCAAAAAAAAAAAAAAACATTCTGCACTCCTCTATATTCTCTATAAGTATGGGAAATTTCATACTTCTCCGTCCGCGCACTTTTCGTAAAAAGGGGTACAAATTTTTTGCTTCACGTGTTAATATATAGATATAGCAAGATTAAGTCGCAAAGGTGGTTTTAATTATATGGAGGGTACCTTTGTCTACTCGAGTGAGGTCACAAATGTCTATACGGAAGATAACTGACTTCTACACGTCACAGGAATACGTTGATACGACGCTTTAGCTGATTTAATCTGTGTCTGTATAATACAGTGCTGTTTTTCCCCCGGTCATCTTTCTCGTCGAACCCGTCGCTTGCGACGAAGGGCTCGACGAGTAAATTAACCCTCAGACACAGCCCACTGAGTTTCTCACCGGATCTTCTCAGTGGGTCCCATTTCCGATCCGGTGGTAGATTCTGCGAAGCACTGCTCTTGCTAGGGTTCGTGTTAGCAACGTCATCGGGTTTGAGCCCCGTGAGCTCACCTACTGGTTAAAGCGACGCTGATATAGCCTATTAAGACTATCAGCTTAAGTAGGAAAAAAAAAGAAGCTGTTTTTTAACTGTGTCTTTAAACGACATGCAATAAAACTATTTCTTTAATGCATATTAAATCGTATGTAAATTTTTATTTTTACATATCTTTCCCTCCTCACGATAGACGTATGGATGCAGATAATTTTGCTTAGCGTTTCATAATGTTCTTGTTGTTGCTTAAGATAATAAAAACCGGTTTACGCTAAACAGAATAATTCGTGAGATGTGGGTTAATTTTTAAATTTGAGCACAATTGTAATATGGTTCGTCCAGTAATTCGGATCCATTATGTTTCGTTTGACATATAAAACAAATAGCTCATCCGCTGTTAAATAATTTCTAAAGCCCAGGTAATTTGAATTATCGAGTGAAAGAAAGAATTTTCTCGGGATAAGGAATTGCTCGTGTTTTTTTTTTTTGCTTAGGTAGGCGGTCGATCTCACAGCCCACCTTGTGTTAAGTGATTACTGGAGCCCATAGACATCTACGACGTAAATGCGCCACCTACCTTGAGATATCAGTTCTAAGGTCTCAGTATAGTTACAACGGCTACCCCGCCCTTAAAACCGAAACGCATTACTGCTTCACGGCAGAAATAAGCAGGGTGATGGTACCTACCCGCGCGGTCTCACAAGAGGTCCTGCCACCAGTAACTCGTGTCACTCTCTGTTCCGTGAACTAACAGTCGACTAAGAGTTCGACTTGCGAACTAGTTTATAGACACAACCCACTGAGTTTCTTGCCGGATCCTCTCAGTGGCTCGCGATTCCGATCCGGTAGAAGATTCAGCGGAGCACTGCTCTTGCCAGGACCAGTGTTAGCAATCCTCTCAAACTGAGGCCGTGAGCTCAACTACGTGTCCACACGAAGTAGCCTCTTAGACTACTAACGTTTAGGTAAGGAAAAAAAAAATGATTATCTGTAAAGTCGGCTTACTGACGATAGTTGAACGTGACAACGTCATAAGAAAATACTGATGGAATGGTTTAATTTTTCAAAAGAAAATTATAATTTTA